AGCATTGAAAGGGTCATGAGTGGAAAAAAATTTAAGAAGCCCTGGACACTAGATGACTTCTAAGATCCCTTTCAGCCCTAGAACTATGACCATTATTAGGTTATATGGGGAAACTAAAACTCTAGGCATATTACACAGAGATTTGAGATTTTCTTATGGATATAACCAAAGTAAGGTTGAGGTAGGGAAAAGTCTCAGCAGATCTCTGGACCAATGTGCCCTACTTCTGCTCAGAGACTCCATGGACTCACCTAGAAGCATCCAGGCTACAGATGTGAAACCCACAGCCTCTTCAGAGATGGGACTCTGGGGAAGTAGAACCTGACCTTGAGATCCAGGTCTTTAGAGGCTGACTGAGGGAAATATCAACAATAATAATAATAATATTATATAATAGTGTGTGTGTGTATGTGTATATATATATATATATATATATATAGTATACAATAACAATAGCTAGCCCTTTAAGGTTTGCAAAGCACTTTGTAAATATTATCTTATTTGATCCTCTCATTTGACCCTGGGAGTTAGGTGCTATTATGACTTCCATTTTACAGTTGAGGAAAGTGAGGCAAACAGGTTAAGTGACTTGTCGAGGGTCACATAGCTAATAAATGTCTGAGGCTGGATTTGAACTCAGATCTTTCTGATCCAAGTCCAGCACTGTGCCATCTAATTGCAATACAAACTTTAGCAAGATCCTCAGTGTATTCCTCTAAGCACCTATCTATTGTACACCCTAGCTGCTCCCCTATACTTTTCCAATTGAATCCTGCTCATAATTATGCCAAGCTAGAAGAGAGCACAGGATCATAGGATTACTAGGAGAGATCTTAGAGAATATCTCATCCAATACTCAGTCTTTAAAAATTAATTCACACTCAAATGTGAATTAAAAAAAAACCCACTAAAACTGTGTTTGTGGCTAATTGTATAATGGGTTATTTTAGTTTCTGTTCTGTGGAAAGTGTAAAGCATTTCAACAAAAGGTTCAATGTTGATTTTTTTTTGCACCCATGCTGTTGATCGCGAAATGTAATAGTCTGATCATGACACTGAATAAATATTTCTTCTTTAAAAAAGTCACTTTCAGTGACTTAATATTTTGCCCTTCCTGGGGCTACTTGCATTTTTCATTGAAGGCAGTTTCTTAATCCAAACAAATGAAACTCTAATGGTAAATGCATTGGATTCATGGTAGATTCTCATTCAAATATGAGCGGTATGTGGGGGGAGAAGGCCAACACCAGGGCCCCTCAACCCAGGGGACTAGCTCTTCTAGATACATGCAAGGGTGATCCTGCCTACCAAGCCCCAGATTTTCCCTGGGTTCTATTGGAAGGAAGGTGGTAGTTTACCATCATCCCATAGGATAAACACACACACACACACACACACACACACACACACACACACACACACACACACACACACACAAAACAACTTACTATATCTGTGGAGCTCTGGCTCTCTTATCTAGAGACTTTGCTGATCTCCTTTTCCCACAAGGTGGCAGGAGTGTTCAAGTGACAACTTTCCTTGGCCTCCAATGCCCGTTTGGAGAGCTCTGGGCACTTATCCTTGCTATCCCAGACAACTGGACCTGGGAAGCACAGGAAGGATTTTTTAAAAAATCAAAACATTGGAGTTGTTTTGGATGTGATAGAGTTAACATGATCACAGTCCTGAGGCAAAGGTAAGGAAGGCTGAAGGTGCTTCATAGGAACTTGGAGCTGGAAGGGAATTCATATATGATCTAATGGCACTCAGTGGCTACTGGGTAGTGTGGTAAATAGAGTGCTGGACTTGGAATCGTTAAGACCTGAGTTCAGATCCTACCTACGGCAGGCAATTATTAGCTGTGTGTAGGCAAGTCATTTAGCTGCTTTCACGCTCAGTTTTCTCATCTACAAAATGGAAATAATAAAAGCCCCACCTTCCTGGGTTGTTGTGAGGATCAATGATAGTCTCTCACATATGTGTGTGTGTGTGTGTGTGTATGTATATATGTGCGTGTGAATATTTTTTATATATATACATACATAAAATGCTTTCAGATTTGCAAAGCATATGTGTATGTATGTGTGTGTGTATACAGAGAGAGAAAGAGACAGAGAGAGAGAGAGAGAAATATCTATTCCAATACTAGATCTTTAAAAGTTAATTCACAGTAAGATGTTAATAATGACGTTCAGTGACTTAATGTTTTGCCCTTCCTAGGGCCACTTGCATTTTCACAGAAGGTGATTTCTCAATCCAAAGAAGCGAAGTTCTAGTGGTAGAATTTCAAATATGAGAGGTAAGATATAAATACCAGCTATTAGTATTAGTGCAATCTTCCCCTTTTCATAGACTAAAACCATGGAGAAGTTACCTAGTCTGTACAAGATCACACAAAAGATGGAGGTGGGATTTGAATCCAGATCCTCTGACTTTCTGATGGGCTCCATTTCTATTGGAGAGTCATGAGTAAAGAGCAGTGGGAGTAGGTGGCAGGGCACGCTCTCTAAGGCTTCTCTACCAGGGAGAGAGATATCTTTTCTTCACCTTCCCTTTCCCCTTCCCCCAACAATAGCAACAGCTGTTTTCACCTTCCCTGCAGGAAACTAGCTTGGGGAAACAGGTATAGGAGGAACTCCTTCCTGAGGGGGCTTTTGTCTGTCTTGTAAAACTGTCAGGGAAGCAGCATTCAAGCACCGTAAGTGATTGATCTGGAGAAGGAGGGACAGAGGGAGAGGGCACGTTGGACCCACCGACTGCAAGTTGAGGCAGGTGGTAAAGGATGCCATGGATGTATTTGGACTGGGGGGAAGCTATACACACCCTCCCTAAGAAATGCCCTCCATGCTGCACTGCATGAGAGTCTTTGCTTTGGGGGGTGGGAAGCAGTCTGAAACCATCTTTTCTATTCTCAGCCCTTCTGGTGCTTCAACATTCAGTTACAAGCTCATTCTTCATTTGGGGTGTGGGGGCGGCTGGTGGAGGTGGGTTCAGCCTGGAGGAGGAGCTAAGGGAAATGGATCAGCCGTAGGTACGCAATGACATGGAAATGAGAAAAAAGAGCCTGCACCGGAAGGGGAGACTGAGAAAAAAATCTTGTCAATAAAAAAATGTTAGTCATGTTCCTGGCTGAGTAAACTGACTTATTTCCTCTTCTCCTTTAGAAAACGTGGTCTGAAAACAAAACTTTCTGGGATCATTTGCATTTGAGTTCCTAGGGAGTTGGAATAACTTTTAGTTTAAAGCTGACCTCAGACTTAACTGGCTGTGTGACCTGGGGAAGCTGGTTAAATACCTTAGTTTCCTCATCTGTGAAATGGGATAATAACCGAACCTACCCCATGGTTGTGAAGTCCCAACAAAATAATGAATGTAACACATTTTGCAAACCTTAGAATGCTAATATAAATGGCAGCTTTGATTATGTGGTGGGAATCTTCTTCTAGTCTGGAAAGAACTTTTGTCCTAGACGTTTCATTCTCTGAGGTACTGGCTGTGTGGGGAAATCATAGGATCAGACTCAGAGCTGGAAAAAAAGCGTGGAGGTCACTTTTGCAATTTTACAGATAAGGAAACTGAGGCTTGGAGAGGTTACATGTAGTAAATGGTGGTGTTGGAATTTGAATCCAACTCTGATTCCAAATCCGACTCTTTTCCTGCCTGGGCAAGCAGCTTCCTATTCATGGAAGGAGTCCGAGTTGTCTAAGAACTATGATCCTTGGCTCGGACCTCATGTCAAAGATTGGGATATATGACTTTACCTAGCTTATAAATATGGGGTTCTTAACCTGGGATCCATGGGCCTTGTAGGGGGCAGGAGGGTCTATGAATTTGTAACTTTTAAAGTATTTTAATAACTGTATTTCAACATAATAGGATTTCTTTGTAATCCGATGCATTTTATTTTATATATTTAAAAATGCTATTCAGAGAAGGGATACATAGGTTTCACCATACTGCTCTAGATGAAAACCAGGAACGTCTCTGAGATATCACTTCTCATGCTGGAGAGCAGTTACTAATGCGCTGTAGTTTCCTAATGCCTCCCTGATTAAGATAGAGAAATATTTTGAATTAGTGGCTCCCCACTGGTTCTGGGGTAATAATAATACTAATAATGAGCATTTATATGCTATACAAAGCACTTGAAGGCTTACAAACTCACAATTTAACTCATTTGTTCTTCATGGGAACCCTGTAAAGTAGGTGCCATTATTATAATCCCCATTTTACAAATGAGAAAACTGAGGCAGACAGAGGTTAAGTGACTTACCCAGAGTCACAGAGCTAGGAAGTGTCTGAGGCAGAATTTGAATTTAGGTTTTTCTGACTCCAAGCCCTGCACTCTCTTCCACTAGACCATCTATCAGTACTGTTTTAAAGCCCCGAGTTTTCAGGGCTTGTGACTGATATCATTGAGTTCCTTTCTTTCTTCTTTCAAAGGGAGTACAAGTTACATGTACAAGGGGGGGCAGATGCACACCCCGTAAGTGATTTGAATTTTCTGATGACAGCTCTCTGAACTTACACACACTGGGAAAGAGGGACTGCCTGAGCCCAAATCTTCCTCAAGGAGACTTGGAAGTTTGCTTATTAAACTGGGCTCCAGTTTGTTTTGAGAAGTATGAAGAGATCCAGAGAGGTCATCAGTCTGAGTAGGGAAGCAGCTTTTGAATAACTGAAAAATAGCTGTTTCCAAGGGCTAGGCACTGACAAGGACCCCTCTTTCTTGGAGATCTGCAGCTCATGCACCCAGGCATTCCAAGTCACCTGGGAAGAGGCTGGAGCTATTTGGAAGTTTGGAAAGCATGGGGAGAAAAGTGGTGGGGTGGGTTGGCTCTGAACACACCCCTTTGCCTTCCCTCTCAGCCTCCTACCACCCCTCCCCCAAGTGAAATGTGGGGCTGGCCCTTCTCTGTCTGTGTCCCCATTGGCTAGCGAAGCAGCAAGGGGGGATTTAAAAAAGGAGAAAGTGCTGAAGAGGGACTGGAGCCCGTGAGTGCTGAAGGTTTGGTTGCCCCCACCCTAGCTGGCACCATGAAGTTCCCTCTAGTTCTCTGCCTGCTGTGCCCGCTGGTCCAGGTTGCTTTCCACTCTGTGCAAGGGTGGCAGGCCTTCAAGAATGATGCCACCGAAATCATCCCTGAGCTCAGTGAGCAGCCCGAGCCTCCGCCTGACCTGTCGAACAGCAATAACAAGACGATGAACCGGGCGGAGAATGGAGGGAGATACCCACACCACCCCTTGGAGCCCAAAGGTATTCAAAGTACAATGACCAAGACAGGAAGGGCAAGAGGGTTGTCCTAGATGAGGGCCTCTCTATCTGTGCTTGCTAAATTATAATCGGCAGGGTTTCAGAACCATTGGTGATATTGGGGAAACAGTTCTTCCCCATCACTAGGGGTGCCCAGCTCTGCCTAACCAAGAGAGTGGTACTATAGCTTCCTCCACCCCACCCCTATGCCACTGCTCCTGGGTGGTCTGGTGATCTGGTAGCTGGAGAAGTTGTCAAATTTCTTTTTTTATAGAACTTTTAAAGGATAGGGGAGACAGCCCTCTCTTTTAGACCCACTAAGTGCTCCAGGGGCACTGGCAGGGGAAGCTACCTGCAGCATCAGGATTTGGCCATGGCAGTATGAGGCAGGGCAAAGAGTTGTTACCCCAGGCCACAGCAACTGTCACAGATGTGCTTCACAGCTGTGATTATCAGTTGGTAGCAGGGATGGTGTAAAAGGAATATGAATGGGGACAGGAGCTTTAGAGCTGGAAGGGACCTTGGAGGCCACTCAGTTCAGCCTCCTCATTTTATATATGAGGAAACCAAGGCCCAGAGATGTGAAGTAACTTGCCTAAAGTTATACAAGTAGTAAATAGCAGGTTGTCTGATTCCAATTTTAGAGTGTTAGTTTCCCCCCCCCCCCATTATACCTTGCAACAATCTGGGCAAAGTATAGGAGCCAGAGACTCAGCTTTTGAGAAGCAGAGGATATCAGAGGAGTATAAGGATCAGGAAAAACAAAACAAAACAAAACAAAACAAAACAAAACCCAATTCTTTACAGGCAGAGTGGAAAGAAAAAGTCTACCTTAAAAATCTGACTCAGTGAGCTGGTGATAGGGGAAGGGAGCATGGAGGGAGGACCAAAGTCTATCCCTAACTATCCAGTACTAAGTGAGAATTTCAGATTTTGCCTTAGCAAGGTCAGAAGAGTAACCCTTGCACTTGAAGGTTTTTTTTTTTGTCCTGGTTCCTGGCTTCCATGACTTCTCTGTTCCCCCACAGCACGAAGATGTTTTTAGCATCTGCAGTGGGCATGGGGTGTGTTGGCTTGTGTTCTGTTTAACAAATACTTAAACCTAATCTGGGGCTACAAAGTCAGAGGAAAATCTTACCTGAGAGATTCTCAGACTAGCAGTAAGAAACAAGAAAGATTGGGGCTGTAAAGGCCTATGAAGTCAGCCACAGACAAACCCACCATCACTGTGTGGAAAGAAGGGCTTGCCAGGAGTTTCTCTCCCATGTATGTTTGTGATAAGGGAATCCATCTAGATCATTCAAAGAGGTCTCCAGAAAAGGAGAGCCCAGAGAAGGGCATTGTTCTGGATCTCGGTTTTCCTGGGCAGAAGGCAAACATGAACAGGAAGATAGTCCCAGCTCCCAAGAATTCAGGGTCTAGAGACCAAGTGGGTCAAGAGCTGATTCCTGAATTCTGCCCAATATAGTCCGAACTCCAGAAAGACCTTTTGGAAATCATAGTGGCTGCCATTTTTAGTGTACTTACAAGATACTTTATGTACATCATCACAGCCCTGTGAGGTAAGTGCTACAGATGTCATTATGCCCATTTTACAGATTTTACAAGTCTAAGGTTTGGTGGGGGAGGAGCCTCTGGGTTTACATGAGTAAACACGCTTGCCCTGAGATCCTACCACTCAAAATACCATTCTTTCTCTACAGAGGAAGTGCCTAAACTGGGCAGCACTATTCTTAGCCCTAGAAGCCTCTTTCCCTGGGCAAACACAGGCCGCCCCCACACTCTGCAACCCCAACTCTTAACTAGGAATACAGCCTGGTGAGGGAAACTAAATAAAAGCATGGTGGAGCCAAAGCTTACACTGCTGCCCACAGGTCCCCTCTTTGGCTCAGTGCCTCTGAGCCTCTGGAATAGCCTTGGGGAAGGCTTTCTCTCTCTCTCTTGCTGTCTGTCCTGGGGACTATTTTTCATCAGTTTTGACCTCCCCTCGCCCCCCGCAGCTGTCAGTTCAGCTGCCTTTTGTTTGCAAGAATTCAGAGCTCGGCCCAGAGGCAGGAGGTATGGCCATCCCGCAGAGATAGCATCACCATCCCAGCATCCTCTGGGACTCAGACTTTTTTTGTAAGGCTTTCAGTGCTACTAGGAACCTGAAGATCATGAATCCAGAGCTGGAAGGGACTTCACAAGCCATCTAGCCCACTCCCTTCATTTTACAGATGAGGAAACTGAGGCCCAGAGAGGTTAGGTGACTTGCTCAAGGTCATACAGGCAATAAGCTTTCAAAGAGAGATTTGAACTCTGATCTTCTGACTCCACTATATCAATCACTGACAGGTTTTTAGTCAGAGCTTAGCTCCCTTTCCTCATTTTAGCTTATGATTTTCATGGTGCTTTACCTAATTTCAGCCTTGCAATGAGAGAGGTACTACTAATACTTCTTTCTTGCAGATAGATTACTTGACAGCTAGGAAGTGTCTGAGGCATATTTTGTCCACTATGCCACTAAGATGCCCACACTTGGAAAGTATGCCTTCTTCATTTAACTCTGGACTTGAAATGTGAGTGTTTCTCCCAGAGGGCATGGAAAACTCTGCTGTTTCCCTACCAAGTTCATCCACAGGGCCTAGATTGTTCCTAAAGCCCCATTCCAGTCCCCTATTTCCAGTCCCCACTGCCACAGCCATCAGGACCTGTATCCAGCCTTGCTCCTCTGCAAAGGTCCAGTTAGTTCTCATGCCCATAATGATTTCCTTTCCCTTCTTGGTTTCCTGAGAGACTTTCAGCACAGAATAAATAAGGCTGGATTCTGTCTGCCTTGTATGTTACTGCCTGTAAAGGAACAGGCATTTCGGCACCTTTAAACCTCGGGGAAGTAGCCCAATTTAACGGGGCAGGAGTGCTCATCACACACCACAGTTAACATTAAAGTCCTCTCTTTTTTTCTAGCGAAATGGTTCCCACATCTGCTGGACAAACCAGTGCTAGGACTCTGTCCTTGATAATCCTTCCACCTCCCTTCTCTGTCTGACAGGAGTGACTGCCAAGTTAAATCTACTCAGGATTTGGGGGAAGGAATATTTGGGAGCAGGACAGAATCAGGCAAGAGGGGCTTGATGAGCCCAGAAAATTGTTTAAGCCAGGGTGGGTGAGACAGGAATCTTTAGCTGGCTTGAGTGACCCAAAGTGGTTTGTTTCCAGGACTTCTTTTTCTTTGTTTCTCTCTCTCTCTCTCTCTCTCTCTCTCTCTCTCTCTCTCTCTCTCTCTCTCTCTCTCTCTCTCTCTCTCGGCAATCGGGGTTAAGTGACTTGCCCAGGGTCACACAGCTAGTAAGTGTCAAGTGTCTGAGGCTACATTTGAACTCAGGTCCTCCTGACTCCAAGGTCGGTGCTCTATCCACTGCGCTACTTAGCTGCCCGGTTTCCAGGACTTTTTGAATATGATTTGGGAAACAATCCAGTTAGTCACAAAAGCTCAAATGTCTAGGCATTGACAACTCTACAAAGGAAATGCGACTTGAAGGCTTGAGGAAAAGGCTCCTAGGGGTTGGGGCGGGGGTGGGGGAGAGAGGACAAGAGCTTGATGCTTGAAGTTTAAGGCAGCTGGCTAGACCTGGAGAGGTCAGGGGAGCTTCTAGCCCAGATACCACCTTTATCGCTGGTCACTAGCAGCTTGCTTCCCCTTGTACCCCTAGACGCCTCGGATTACAGCTGCCGGGAGCTGCACTTCACCCGCTACATCACCGATGGGCCCTGCCGCAGCGCCAAGCCGGTCACTGAGCTGGTGTGCTCGGGCCAGTGCGGGCCAGCGCACTTGCAGCCCAATGCCATTGGGCGCAAATGGTTGTGGCGCCAGAGCGCCCCGGACTATCGCTGCATCCCTGACCGCTACCGCATGCAGCGCATCCAGCTGTTGTGCCCGGGAGGCGAGGAGTCCCGGACTCACAAGATTCGTGTAGTGGCCTCCTGCAAATGCAAGCGCTACACTCGTTTCCACAACCAGTCGGAGCTCAAGGACTTCGGCAAGGAGGCCGCTCGACCCCCCAAGAACAAGAAGCCGCGGCTGTCCCGGATCCGGAGCGGCAAGTCCAAACAGCCAGAGCTGGAGAATGCTTACTAGGGAGCCCCTAGACCCTGCCCCAGGCCGCTTCTCCCTCCAAGACGTGCCAGAGCCGAGGTCACCCCGCAAAGGCCTCTGGGTCTTTGTCTGTTTCTTTGTTTTGTTTTGTTTTCATTCCTGAAGCGCAGGGTAGGGTCTGTCTCCCCAAATCCCGAAGCCTGAACCTTTTAGCGCAGAGGGTGAGGAAGACTGATAGCCAGGCCACTGGGAAACTGGGAGGGGACCGAGCAACGTGGGGTAGCCACGTGGAGGGGAGGGGGCCTCCCGCCAGCCTTGGAACAAGCTGGTGGATCTCTTCTGGGAAGGGGAGGGCTGGACAGGTAGGATCTCCTGTAACCGAGACACTCCCAGCCCCCCCCCCCACTACCACAGGAGTTCGGAGGGGAGAGTCTCTGCACTACCCCATCCCTTCCGCCAACTTGCTTATACCCCAGGAGTTAAAAGAGAGCGCTTAGGAGCGCCTAAAGGGTATATGAAGCCCTGGGCTTTGCAATCTTCAGTAATATTTATGACCTACTGATTAGAAAAGAAAGTGGCATGAGATTAGTCCTCCATTGTCTCCTGGTCCCAATTCCATCTGGAAGTCTTTAAGGTGTAAGTAACATCAGGTTGTCAAAAAGGAAAATCCCACCTTTAAATAGGAAGCCTAGAGAAATTGGACCAGATGATCTTGAAGGACACAGCCAACTCTGAGAATCTGAACTACCAGATCATCTAGCCCTCCTATCAAAACCTAGTTCTGTTCGCCAGTGTTCAAGGAGGGTGGAGAGATGGTAACTTTCACAGCTTGGCTTTCCAGTTCAGTTGTAAGCAAATTCTTCCCCCTGGGGTGGGGTGGGGGTGGTTGCAGAGTTATTATACTTTGCAAACCTTGTGAACTTTCATTTTTCAGCCACCACTGAATTGTCAGCAGGGCAAGGAGATGGGCTAACTCCCAACACAAAACGGGACCTAGGTAGGAAATGAATAACAGTACTTCTTAGAGTAAGCCCGGAGTGAGGGTGTTGGGGGAAAAGCAGCTGGAGAAACCGTGCCCTCTCTCCCAGAAGGACAGTTCTATTCCTGACCTAACACTTTCTTTCTTATGGTAACCTCTGCAAAGTTCTCTCGTGACCCAGCCCCTCTCCTCCCACCAGTACCTGGGGTCTGTGCCCACAGGTCTTCGTGACAGAGACCAGTGTTGGTTCATTGTAAAAGATGAGCCAGTCAAAAGGCCTGGTCCATGCACATGTAGTTCACTGGCACATTCTTCTCCTGAAAATAGCTTAGCCCCACGCGTACATGTGTTGATGCTCCTTTCATTGAAAGATCATTGTTGGAAAGCAAAAACAAACAAAAAAATTGCAACTGCTGTACATATGCTGAAACCCCACAAAATGCAATAACTGCAGTCCAAAAATCTTTTGGCAAAACATTTTCAGATACTTCTTTGTGTATAATTTTTAAAAAATGTTTTGTTGTGTGTGTGTGTGTATGTGTACGTATGTGTTTTTTTAAGCGTATTCAATGTGAAAGCCTGCAGGTCTGGTAGCTTGCATTTGCAGTGCCTCCAGGTGGGACCCTGACGCAGGAATGAAAGTAATTGTTTTTAAAAGAATAAGTTACATATTTATTTTCTTGTTTAAGTTATTTATGCAAAAGTATTTTTCTCGTAGAGAACAAAAAATTAATATTGCTTTATGAAATAACAGTCTGGTCTTTCAGGATTCCAAATGTATTGTTAATAAAGACAATGATTATTTAAAAAAAAAAGGATGTGGGCTTTTTTTTAAACCACACAAATCTTGTCAATGATACTCCCATTATTCCAGTCACCTAAACTTGACGCCTCAAAGTCACCTTTGACTCCCCCATCACCTGAATCAATTCAGTCACTAAGGCCTGCCAATTTTTGCTTTGAAATGTTTCTCTTTATCCACCTCTAATGTTTCCATTTCACTACTCTCAGACCAGCCCAGGCCCTCATAGCCTCCAGCCTACATTACTATAGTAGTTAGAAGTCTAAGTGGTCTCTCTAGGTCCTGTTTTTCTCCCTACCCAATCCATCCTATCCTCTGTTGCCAGATTAATGTTTCTAAGGCATCCCTTTCATCTTGTTACTGCCCTGTTAAATACCGCCAATGATTCCTCTTTGCCTAAAGGGAAATTTCAGCTGGACACTCAAGGAGCTTGACAACAAGATAGCTAGCCTTCATTTTCTCGATGTAATTTTATCTTCTTTACCTCCCTCCCCCCAGTCTGAACTCTCTCTAGCCAGGCGAATCAGTACGATTTCCCAGACAGGCCATATTCATTCCTAACTCCATGTCTTTGCTCTTTTCCTGGCTTGAAATACTCTTCCCCATAACCATTTTGGAAAGCAATTTGGAATTATACTAAGAAAATGACAAAAATGACCATACATTTTGACCCAGTCAATTGCCAATAAGCATTTATTACTTGCTTACTATATGCCAGAAATTGAACTTATTTGCTGGGGATACGAAGAAAGGCAAAAGGCAGTCCTTGTCCTCAAGGAGCTCACAATCTAATGATGTAGACAGCCTAGAAACAACTATATGCAAACTCTATACAGAAAAAATAGGAACTAATCAACAGAGGAAAGACATTAGAATTAAGAGGGATTACAAAAGAATTCCAGTAGAGATCACACTGTCAACCCCATGGATGTCAATGATAAAAAGAAAGGGACTCATATACATCAAAATATTCATAGCAGCAATTTTTGTAGTAGCTGAGATATGGAAACAAAGTAAATTTCCATTGATTGTGAATGGCTAAACAAATTGTGGTTCATGCTTACACCATGCTATGAGAACAGTAAATATGGAGAGTATATAGAAGCATACAAAGGCATATGAACTAATAACAAGTGAAGTGAGCAGAACCAGAAAACCAATATATGCAATGACTGCGACAATGTATATGGAGGTGGAGGGGGGTTAGGAACTGGAACTGGAATTTCACTGATACAGGAACTCTCAGAAGAGAAAACTCCAGCTTACCAGTATGGTCAGCACCTTCTTGCAACTTACCCTCTTAGAAAGTTGTTGCCTAGAGCACTGAGAGGTTAAGTGAGCTGGTGAGGGTCACAAAGCCAGTTATGTGTCAGGGGTGAGACTTGAGCCCAGATCTTCTTTTTAAGTATATTTTAATTTAGCACAGTAGTTCCAACCCTGTTCTGCTTGTCACCCTTGTGAACTATCTTCTGTATGTTTTAAAAATGTTTTATCAATGTTCTATTCTTTTCGTATCACTACCATTCCCCACATGCCAAAACTGTCCTCAGTCTTCCAACAACTAGTCTTTCTTTGTTGTTTGTCCTTCATTCTTGAAGAGGACCATGACATTAGGAAGAAGATGCCATGACTTGCAAGTGAATTGGATTTAAGTGAGGAAGTGCTGTGTGAGGTCACCAGCCTTACTTTCTCCTCTAGAGCCACCTGGCTCCAGTGGCAAGATACAGATCAGGATGACTGGAGATGGCCCCACAGTCTTCCGTTATGACAAATAACTATAGCCAAACAAAGCAAATACACGCATTGGCCATGAGGAATGGCTCTGGTACTTATATGTTTGAATCTATTCTCTATATATCTTGGATATCAGAGAAATTTGCTGCAAGTATTTTTTGCAGCAAGTCATATGAGACTGAATGTCTCATTTTGGAAGGGAATAAATATTTATATAGCATCCACTGTATGCGAGACACTATGTTAAGCACTTTTACAAATATTATCTCATTTGATCCTCACAACAACTTTGTGAGTTTGGTGTTATTATCATCCCCATTTTTACAACTGAGGAAATTGAGGAAAACAGAGGTTAGGTGATTTGCTCAGGGTCACACGCTAGTGGCTGAGGAAGGACTTGAACTCAGGTCTTTCCAACTCCTGGCCAAGAGTTCTATCCTCTTTGACACCAGCTGACTCCAGTTTACCGCTTCTCTGTCAAGAAGTGGAAAGCATTGTTCATCTTCAGTCTCCTAGAGCCACAATTGCTCACAGGAATTGATCAAAGTTGTTAAGTCTTTCACAGTTGTTTTCCTTTACAATATAGTAATCATCATATGAATTGTTTTCCTGGTATTCTCCACTTCACTCCATATCAGAGTATAACCTTCCCAGATTTCTCTGAATGTGTCTCATAATTTCCTATCGATCAATAACATTCTTTACATTCATGTTCCATAATTTATTTAGCCATTCCCCAATTCATGGAGATATTTCCAGTTCTTTGCTATAACAAAAAGTGCTGCTAAAATATTTTGTCCGTATGGCTCCTTTCCTTCTTTTTTCTCTTGGGGGTAGTGGTGTTGGGAACAGGATAAAAAACACTTTACAAATATCATCTCATTTGAGCCTCCCAATGACCAGGGGAAGTTGGTGCTATTACTCCCATTTAACAGATGAGGAAACTGAGGCTAAGAAGGTAACACAGCCAATAAATGTCTGAGGATAGATTTGAACTTGTTGTCTTTTTGTCTGCAGATCCAGCCCTCTATTTACTGTAGGCGCTAATCAGGCCAAAGGTTATGTACAGTTTAGTGACTTTTTGGTTAGAGCTCCAAATTGCTTTCCAGGATGGCTGAACCGATTTATAGCTCTACCAGTAGTACGTGAATGTGCAGGACCTTCCACAGTCCCTGCAATAATTGGTCTCTTTCCATTTTTTTTGTCAGCTTGGTTAATTCCTGTGTTGTTTTCATTTGGATATCTCTTACTGTTAGTCACTTGGGTTATTTCTTTTTTCATATATTTGTTGGTGGTTTCCCTTTCTTTTACAAACTATCTCTTCACATCCTCTGGCCATTTGTCAATCTTGCTCTTATATATTTGGATCAATTCCCTATATATCTTGGATATTAGACCTTTATCAGATCAATTTGCACTATTTTTACAGTGTTGTTGTTATGATACAAATTGTCCCGATTCGGCTCATCTTATTCTTCATCAGTTTATAAAAGTCTTCAAAATTGTTCAGTTTTATAATATTGATATTAGAGTATAAATTGTTTTCCTGGTTCTACTCATTTTCCTTTGCATCAGTTCACATAAGTCTTCCCATGTCTTTTTGGAATCATCTATTTCTTCCTTTCTTACATCACGATAGTAATGCATCACATTCATATACTACAACTTAATCATTCTTCAATCGTTGGACATACTCTTAATTTCTATTTTTAACCACCTCAAAAAGAACTGCTATGCATATTTTTTAACATAAGGAACTTTTTCTTCTTCTTTTGTCTCTTTTGGGTATAGACTTAACAATATTATAGCTGGATCAAAGAGCATTGTACTATAGTAACTTCGTGTGTACTTCCAAATTGCTGTCTGGATTCCAAATTGCTGTCTGGAATGTTGTACCCCTTCACAGGTCCACCAATAGTGCATCAATGTGTCTGTTTTCCCATAACCTCTTCAATATTTATTGCTTTCCTTTTTGTCATTTTTGCCATTCTGTGGGGTGTGAGGTAGAATCTTATAATGGCTCTAATTTGAATTTCTGTAATTAGTAGTGATTTGGACCATTTATAAAAATATGGCTATAGAGAACCTAGGTTTCTTCTCTGGGAACTGCATGTTCATAGCCTTAGATCATTTATCAATTAGAAAATAATACATTGCTTTTTTAATGCCATATGGGCAAGGCAAAATAGTTTTTACCTAGTTACGGGAAATGGGAATTTGCCTCAAAAAAGGAGATCCTTTAGCAGATCTGGTAGTAATCCTGAGTATACAAATGAAGGTAAGGAGGAATCTTCATCTAGCCCCTGCAAAAAAGAGCAGCCCTTCAATAGAGACTCTAAAGGGGAAAGATTGGGATCATCCCCTAACGGGGCTTCCAAGGAGGGGGTAGCTCTGGCTGATGATCCAGGGGAACACTTAGGTGGAGGTGGTATGGGATGAGTTCCTGTATGAACTTAGACCCTGAGACAGATTGTATGCAAGAAGCTGATGACCTCTTAGTTTTCTTGCTACAGATGATCCTAACCCATGCTGGGAATTTGAGATAGATTTAGAGATGTCAAGACTGCTACCATGGCCTTGATGTTCCTAGTGTTGCTTCTGTTAATTGTCGCCACTTTATATTAGAACCATTATGAATGGTTCCTGTATTGCATTGTACCTTTTGAAGAAGTTGTGGTCAATTCTTTTTTGTTTTTATATTTTTGTTATCTAATTTAGGCTTCTCCCTTAATATTGCCTCCGGTAGGCTTTTTCCTGAAGCTGGAGCTATTTTAAAGTTATTTTAGTGGTGGGAGGTCCATTGGAGTGTTGAGGGGTAGGGCACCAATTTCTTTACATAGACTTTGGTGGTTTTCCTTCAAGGAGGCAAGAAAGCTGCCCTTGGGACTTGATTGGTCCAGAGGAGTGTTGTTATTGTTGTTATTCTTGAGTCAACTCATTCCAACTCTTCATGACCCCTTTTGGTTTTTTTTTGGCAAAGATGCTGGAGTGGTTTGACACTCTCGCCCATTTTACAGAGGCAGACTAAGGCAAACAGGGTTAAATGACTTGCCCAGCATCACACAACTAAGTATCTGAGACTGGATTTGAACTCATGAAGATGAGTCCAGAGGAGTAGGACTTTTTAAAAAAAAAATCCCTACTTCTCTTTTAGTCCAGAGGAGTAGGGATTTAAAAAAAAAAAACTAGCCTATGTGGAGTTGGTCCTCCCGAGGTTTGGCAGATTTCCCACCA